GACCAATTAAAGGAATGACCGGTGATAGATACGGTATTTAGTGTCCGCATTTTGTAATCTTCTTAAATTTAGTTGGCTAATTGGCATCTCAAATCAATTAAGTTACCTCGAGTAACACAAACAACACAGTTTTGTTTTCAAGAGAAAAACTTGTCTGTTTTTATTTACAAGGGGGAGGAGACCTTCAACAGGGAGGGGGAGGGGCTCATCCTGGGAGGTGCGGGCTCTGGCCTGAGTCCCTGGCACCCTGGCTGGTTCCAGCTGGCATCCACCCTTCCCCCTGGTCCCGCCGGATGTGTGTGAGCAGCACCAGGCTGCACGAGGTTGCATGTGCTGCTTCCTGCCTAATGCTACACAGTGTGCAGCTCACGTGGCCTGAGTGATATGCTCTCCCCCTCCCCCACTCCGGGTGCCTGGCTCCCCCCCTCGCCCTTGTGAGTGCAAAGTGGATCCTTCTCCAGCCTCCGAGAACGCATGGGAGATGTCGGGGCTGTTGGAGGGGGCCTGCTGGGTGGCAGTGCTGGCCTCATCCTCTGACTCTCTGCTGTCTCCTTCCCCTGCCTCAGTGGTCCTGGTGACGGGGGTGCATGCTGCTGTTGATGGGGACCTCCGGGGCTGGCTGGCCCAGGATGGCGTGGAACCAGTCGTAGTGGGGGCAGGTGTCTGCTCCTGCCCTCGCTGGCCCACACGTAGCCCAGGCACAGCTCCTTGACTTTAGTCCAGGCTGGATGGCCCTGCTGGGCGAGCGCCTGGGCCACACGGGTGAAGATGTCTGCATTCTGGTGCCAGGAGCAGGTGTTATGGAGGGCCTCCTCCTCCTGCCAGAGGTCCAGGCTGAAATACTATGCTGCTCCCGTTCGGGCAAAAGTCCCTTTTGCGCAAAACTTTTTGCACAAAAGGGCCAGTGTAGACAGCTGAGATTTGTTTTGTGTAAAAAAGCCTCGATCACGAAAATGGCGATCGGGGCTTTTTTGTGCGAAAGCACGTCAAGATTGGCCACGGATGCTTTTCAGCAGAAAGTGTTTTTGCGGAAAAGCATCCGCGCTAATCTAGATGCTCTTTTCCGAAAATGCTTATAACGGAAAAGTTTTCCGTTAAAAGCATTTCCGGAAAATCATGCCAGTCTAGACATAGCTGTCTTGTTTAATTTAAGATAGGTAAAACCACAAGTTTACTTCTGCATAGTAAAGTTCCAAAGCTGAATTAAGTCAATGTTTACAACTGAATTTTGAAAGAACAAGCATAACATTTCAGAGAACCCCCCAGCATTAGTGTAGCCATGTGGCTGGGGATTCCATCCCTAACTGCAGCCGGGTTTCCTGCAGCCAGGTGGCTCTGACCAGGAACCCTGAGAAACCCTTGGTGGCAGCAAGGCTGGTGGCTGGAATCCCCAATGGCAGCAGGGCAGCCCTGGCAATAGAGCAGGGTGTCTGGGCAGCCCAGGCTAGGGAATTCCTGCTAGCAGCAGGGCTAGCCACACAGGGTGGCCCCAGCTGGGAACCCCGGAGACTACCTTGCAGCAGCAGGACCAGCAGCTGCCAAGCGGTCTCTGCTGGGAACCCAATGACACCCAGGAGCAGTGGGCAGGCACCGAGGTGGGAAGCTGTGGTGAGCTGGCTTAATAGGGCCAGTGGCAGGACAGTGAGTCCTAGAAGAAGAACCTGGGAGTGGGGCAGCCAGCAGAGGAGCACTGACCTTTCCCTGGTCTGGCAAACTCTCTGGTCCAGGACAGCCGAGGTCTTGAGATTGCTGGACCAGGAAGGACCAAGCTGTAGTATATTTTGGGCTGGGAATTATGTAGCTTCAACCAGTGGTGAAAGTAACTTAAAATTTGTTGCAGGTACTGTCCTATTGCAACCTGGGTCTCTGAAAGCTCTTTAAATAGCTACCTGCTGGCTTTTGCTGGAGCTCAGCCAGCTTTTGCCAGAGCTGCGCACTAGGGCTCACCCTCTTTCCTTCACCTCTGGTTCCAACTAGAAAGCAGAAGAGGTGAACATGTGATTTTTTTTTTAAATGAACTAGTGTTGCTCAGGTCCTTAACACCAATATGTTTAGTTTTTCTTCATTTAAATCATTGTGCTGAAGTGAGGCTGGGCATGATGGGTTCAGCATGCAACCTGTCTCAGGGAGAAAGAGGACAAACCCAGTCCCCTCTCATCACAGCAGCTTGGGGCAAGATGAGAAACATCTGAAGAATTTGACTCCATTGTAATGAGTTAAAGATCCTTACTTTACCTCTTCACTACAACTAACACTCCATATAAGTCAGTCTTGTAATAGCCCAGTGATAAACTACAGTGTTTTTACATAAAGCTTGACACAGCTGATCAGGCAATAGCTATCCCGCCTGCCATGGTGGACAATCTGATGTTTCGTGGGGAGACTTAAATCTTCATAATACAACTAGCAAAGATCTTGATACTATAAGCCAGGGTTTCTGAATCTATGGGTCGGGACCCAAATATGGGTCACCATTACATTTCAAAAGGGTCGCCAAGTGTCTCCCCAGGTGGCTCTACCCTTCCTTCTCCCCTTGTTTTTGAATTGCCTTGGTTACCAAGTCTTCCTGAATTGTCAAAATGGGTCCCCATCTGGAAAAGGTTAGGAACTGCTGCTATATACACTTATTTGTGTGAAGGCATTGGGCTGAGTTGAGGAAATAAAAGATGATAGTAGAAGGTCCTAATTGTGCCACAGGTTAGCTGCAAGCCTGAAGAATTCCAGCCTGATCCTTGCAACTGTGCAGGTTACAGTGAGAGGCAGAAAAGCTGAACGACCTGAGATTTTTCTAGCTGGAATTTACTTTATATGTAGAAAAAAAATAACTATAAAATGTAACCCTAACCTAGACTTTAACTGTTAAAGAATCTGTATGCCAATATACCAATGAATTCTACTTACTGCCACCTGCTAGGGCTACACAGGGGTTTGTCAATGTGCTTTGCACACGGTTTCAACCTAGTATGAATTTTTTACTGTAAACTTTCACCTCTAGCCAGCATGACCCTTTAGCAGCAGTACAATATGCAGTCATACAAGAGAACAAGGATAAGTAGCACACGTGTTTATTTTCACTCCCCTGCTCAACAGACTCGTTCTTGCATCATTGGTGCCAGTGCCAGTGCCAGCAACCATCTTTCTGGATGAATCATGTGGTGTTGACAGGCTTCTTAGTGAAGCTGATGCAGGACTTTGAGGGAGCAAGGAGGTGCTTGGAAGAGGCTGTGTAGATGAAAGAAGCTGCACACTTTTCTACTTCAGGGAGAAATTCAGGAAACTCCCACAAAACAAGCAAAACGGGGCTGAAGGACCAAGACCTGTCTCAAATGCAAGGCCAGGTGCTGGAGCTACCAGATTCATTAACCTATTGGCTATAGCAGCAGCTGCTGCTCCTGCACTCCCTATGCCTGAATTAGTATGTATGACCTGTCTGGAGCAGAAGAGGGACCTAGTACCTTGACCTCAGAGTGATGCTAAAGTCCCCAGCATGGCCACACCACACATCCCCAGCTGCTCTCTGCAAGGAAGGCACATAACTAGCCCGCTGAGATGTGTGTGGGGGGGGGGATAGTGGAGGGGGAACTGATGGACCCTGGAGGGGCAGAGGGACTCTGGAGACCCTGCAGCGTAGGCTGGAGCAGAAGGGCCTGGAGACCCAGGGGACAGGGGGAGGCAGAGACCACAGAGACCCTGTGCAGCCAATGGGGGGGCTCTCGCGTAGGGCTCCCGCCCTCTCCCTGAGCCTGCAGGGGGCGCTGCCGCCTTCCCTGGCTCCCCGCCCTGGCCCGGGAGGCGGGGCGTGGCCGG